CTGATATTCTGTATGGGAATTTATTTTTCATTAACTTCCTAGAATGTTCTGGACCTTTGTAGAATCTCATGGAACCTTCCAGACTTTCTGAAAACTACGTTTTCCTCGAATCTCCTAGAATGTTGTCAGCCATGCCCTCATGGATATATAAGGGGCAGGGCATCGCTGGTCAGTCATTGAGATAGAACGAAGTGAGAGCCCAGCTGTAATACTGTGAACCTTGTTTTATTATGTACTTGTAAAAGGGTACTTTTGTTTTAAGACTTGAAGAGTGTAAGTAATGACTAATAAAAGACATATTTCATGAGACACCAGAGATATCTATTGAACCCCTATCAACAATATAAAAGCAATACTGTTACTTCTTTTGCCATGTTTAATATGTAATGTTTGATGACTTTCTAAGACTGCGGAACATAGACTTTTGCTCTCCCTTATCCTGTCTGTTTTCCCCGCTGTAGAAAATAAAAGATGCCCCTGAAGAAGCCTTCAGAAGCTCAGTATGGGAAGCGAAAAGCTCAATTGCAATCTAGCAAGGGGCAAATTTGATGGGAAAATATCTGAAACAGAACAACATAGACTGGACTTTAGGCAGTAGCGATTGTCCCAGAGCAGAATAAATTGAGGAGCGAAGCATAAATGATGGAAGTCCTATTACTAAGGAATTAGCAGATTTACCTGAAGATAAGGAATGGAAATGCGAGGAAAGCAATGGAGAATCATCCAGTTTTCTTGGCAGCATAAAAGAGAGTGATCATAAAGAAAAATTTGGTTTACATGAAAAGGAGAGAAGCAATAAAGAAGAATCAGCATCACATAATGACAGAAACAGGAGTGAGAAAATTTGTACACCACAAATCGATACATCAGATCCCACTTTATGGCCTGCGATCCTAAATTCTGCTGATATTCTTTGTACAATTTTGAACAGGCTGGGCAAAATCGAGGATATGACATTTCTAGTAAATGATCAGAAGTGACACTTCTCAAAGTCACACTGTGAAAGAGTGCTCGAGATTGGTGAGAAACTGAATCAGCGTTGGCTAGTTTACTCAAAATCAACTGACAAAGTGTTCTGGTTTTGTTTAAAAATATTTTATAAGAATGTCAAATCATTGCTTATGCTTTCCGGGTACAATTACTGGCATAATTTAGCTGATGCTCTGAAGCGACATGAAAAGTCACCCAGCCATTTTACGGCCTACTCCAAAAGAATGGAGGTCGAATCCAGGCTCAAGCTGAATAAATGCCTAGATGCTGAAAACCAGCACATTATTAATGTAGAAACCCAGCACCGGAGGAACGTGCTCAAGCGTCTGATCTCAACTACCCTCTTCCTTGCAAAGAATAATTTGGCTTTCTGGTGCTCATTGGATAAGTTGTTCACTGAACATAACAATAATTTCCTTGGTTTGGTAGAACTTTTCTATGTTGAGTAATTTGTAAAGAAGCTATGGACCATTACTGCAGCAAAACAATTCAAAACGAATTGATTGACCTTATGGCAAGGAAGGTACTCGATAAGATGTTAATGTGACTCGGCAAAGAGAAGTGCTACACCATAATAACGGACTGCACTCCCAACATTAGTCACAGTGAAAAGATATCATTTACAGTAAGATTTGTTGACTATTAGGATGGCTGTATTCAAATAAAGGAACATTTTATCTGTTTCCGGTCTGCGGACAATTCTACTGGAAAAGACCTAACAGGACTGTTTATGAACATTTTGAATGAGAATAAAATAAAGTTCAGGAGTGCCATGGCCAAGACTACAACAACGGTGCGAACATGAAAGGAAGAAACAGTGGCATCCAGGTAAGGATCCTTGTGCTGAATCAAAGAGCTTCCTTCGTGCCTTGTGATAAATCATACGTGCAAATCATGTATCAAAGTCATGAAATGGGCTACAAATGCAATAAGCATAAGGTATTCAAAAGTTCAACAAATGGAGGGGAGGGGGGACACATCAAAGACACTTCTCGCCTGGGGCGCCATTTGGTCTAGGGCTGGCCCTGAGTATAGTCAACTGGTGCAGGTGAGGGGCTACTAAGTTTTATTCTGTTCGTATTTAATATATATTTTTGCTTTCTGTCTACAGTTGTGGAATGATTACTTCACTTAGGTGGTAATGCAAATGCATACAGTTAACATGGCCATCTCATCCCGTCTCTTTGTAACCTGTTGTCAAGGTATACTAAACTTGGACCCAAGAAAGTTTGTTGCTTAAAATCCAAAATGACCCTAAGGAAATTTAACATTATAAATGACGTCTCTTGATGAGTTTCAGATCATCAATACTGTAACTTCAGGCTACAATGACCATGGTCAGTAGAAATCTGTTTAAAATGTTAAAGAAATTTGTGGACCAATTTGTCTGAGTCCTGCTGAAATCCATGGGATAATTTGTATCTGGTCTACAGAGATTTACGTACATCTCTTCTAGTTTTCACATAACTGTTTTTTATGCCTAATCATTCAAGCTCGTTGTAAGGGAACTAGTCCATATGCCAAGGCATTATAGTATGTATTATGCCCAAATTTGAAAAATAAAAAGTCAGAATATTGCAAATACCTCTGAAACATAAAATAACTAATGCAGCGAAAACAAACAACAATAATTTAGCAACAAAGCACAATTAACAATACTACAGTGTTTTCCTCAGGCAAAAATAATAAAAAAATCACACTGTACTAGAATGTCATTGGAGTTAGAAGCAGCATTAGGTTTGCACACAACCCAAGGGGGTGAGGGTGGGGCTCAACACTGTGGGTCAGTGAGCAACATTTCACTTGTGTTGGTGGAGGGGAACAGAAGCTAAAGGTAACAGAGTGCAGAGTGTGGACGCAGGAGGAGAAGTAATTCTGAAGAATGATCCTCCCAAGCTGATGGAAACCTCCGTGTAAGACTCTGAGCAGGTTGGGGCTCTGTAGCTCAGAAGAGAACTGGGAATAGGGAACAGCTATTCTTTGTGGCATGTCCCCCTTCCAAATCTCAACAGGAATGCATGCTGCTAGGAGAAGAATTCACATCAGCTCCATGATGTCCCTTCTCCATTGAATACAACTGTAATGAGCGCCAATAAAAATACAAATATTTAGTTAAATTGCAACAGGTTTATATGAAGAGCATTCCCTTTTGGTCTAGTAAAGCATAGGCTGAGAGTCACTTGATTTTTGCATTCCTTGAGGAATTCTCAGATTAAATCTTGCAAGGGCACCTTAACATGACGATCGCATGTCATTATCTTAATTTTGTATGTGCGATCAGCAAGTGGGAGCATCTTTGTAGCATCTCCTCCTAAAGAGGAAGCCAACTTTGCACGGTGGAGGCAAAATCTCCTTCTGTGTTTATCCCAAATAGCCGTTAGTTAGTCATCATTTATTTTCAGGTACTGGAATCAATCTTAAATGGTGCTCAATCAGCATTATTAGGACAAAAAAATAAAAATAATAATAAACATATTGCAGAACCAACATGCCATTTGCTGCCATCTTATTGTTCAATGTTTGTGTGGTATCGCCCTTTCCCCACTTTGTGTCTTGTCTTGTCTATTTAGACTAGAAGCTCTTTGGGGCAGGGATTGGGTCTTATTCTATATTTGTACAGTATCTGGCACCACGGGGCTTAGTTCTCAGATTGCCCTTCGGCACTGCCATAATAAGCATGATAATTAATAGTATGGATTGTGCCAGAGAGTGCACAATTGCCCAGAGATTTTTCTCCTCTTCATACTAATAGGAGTTTACAAACAAAAAAATCCCTTGGTTATCATTGGGAAGAACAGACCCCAGTATTGAGCATGATCTACTCTTAGTTACACAAGCGTAAATCAGGAGTAAATCCACGTCAATGTTATTGTACTAGTATAAAATTAGTGCCGGGGAGAGGAGAACAAAGCCCCTCGTTTTTAATGAGCAAAACCCTTATTTGCAGGGATTTGTTTCACTCTGAACCAAAATGTGGCTTGCAAGCTCGTAGCTCAAGGTTTAAGGCATTTTTTTTTGGAAGAAGAAAAAAAAAATCAATTTGGCTGTTTTCAAGTCTCCCAAAGCAGGGATTCAGGAATCTGAGTTAATCTGAACGGGGTCTGTGGAGGTTTCATCCAGCCTTTCCTTCCGGCCATCATTTAAATCCCCTCCTACCGTCCTCCATGCAAGCTGCAACGGCATCATCATAATAACCCTATGACCGAGAGGGATGAGAGTCTCCACTGAGACAGTAATCTCACTCTAAACAGCTCTCTAGCGGGTGCTCATGAGTGGTGATACATCATGCAATTTTCTCCTTTAGAGACTCAGAGTGTCACCTCCACTGTGATCCCTGCCCTGCCTGGCAGATGCCAGTAAGTGAGAGCCCAAAGTTAGCCTCAGACCAGCATTTCTTACATGGCTGTGCACTGATGCTGCACAGCAATGCAATGCTGAGTCTGCAGGCCAGCCTGCCTGCCAGTGATTCATATTTGAATATTGGTTATTATGCATTTTCTGGAAACATTTTCCAAAACGTTCTTTTAATATCTTTATTATTTCCAATATAGATAACAACATACATTTGAGTCAGAACTGCATATTGTACTCATGCAAGCATATGAAACAGGTAGTGCCATGCAGAGCTCTGTATTACCACCTATGCAGACTTGTATTTGTAACAATGTACACGCTCTAACAAAAAAGCTATACATTTGACTTGATAAGGAATGCTATTGGCATAACAGAATAATCCTCAATAGGCCTGTGTATTTCCATAATGCTATTTAATATGCACATATAGAAACTAATGCTCTGATGATGATTTTTAGTGGGCAGATCTATCAAGTTCTCACACATTCAAATGCAATACCGTGGCTCCAAGAGAGGAACTAACATGTAGTCTAGAATAATGTGTAACTCCACACTAAAATGGTAACCCAAACACATTTAAACCACAGAATTTTTCCTTCGTATACAAATAAATACAAACGACTGTATTTATATATCATTAACAGTTTGATACAAACCCATAGACATCCGGAACGTAGAGCTGAGCCTCCCACTCTGATGCTAACTCATATATCATTGTGTCTTCTCTCCCTCTGTCTAAGAGAATGATAAGAATGGAATGTCAACCTCCGCTTTTAAGTGCCTGAACCACATGCTGCCCTCAGTCCTGCTCCCACCTACCCCCTCCTCTTCCACTCATTTGATTTCATTGACATTATGTGGATGCAACTAGGGACAGCATTTGACCCCTCCGCTTTGTGTAATAACCTGAACATTGTCTACACAGAGGGTTTTGTATTTAATAATCTTCCCAGCTCAACTGTTTTCAACTCACTCTCCCTCCTGAACTGATAAATCTAAATTGCACATTTTTTGAACAGCTTAGCTTATATCTTGCAGGTATCCTTAAATGACTGCTTAGTCTCTTTTGTACTTGTCTAGCACCATCTACTGTAACTTTATTATACTGTCTTCCCTTTCTTTCGAGACTGCAAGTTTGTGATTCCTTCGCGAGTCTGCACTGGGGCTAAGGTGTTCACGGCAAATCATGAAGTCTGTATCCATTTCAAAGGCCACATGCTGTTATAGAGAAACAAATGCAACATGCCCCCATCCTGTGTATAGAGTGAACTGTATTTGTCAATTTTAACATCAGTTTTGGTGGGAAGAGCTTCTTAGATCTGCCAGTTTTCTAATGGCAAGTTCTACTCCCCCTCAGCAGCTAGAGCGGACAGCAGAACAAGAGGAGGGACAGCATCCCAATCAAGAGGTCAGCACCCTTTGCGCACCACACAGCCCAGCTTCATTGAAGTCCACTGAGCCAGCCTGCACAATAAGCTTTGAGAGCAGGGCAGGCAAGGCAGGGCACCCTCCTGAGCCAGCTCCACACAACAACAGAGCTTCTGGCCACTGCCATCTACGCTGGGGGCTAGCTCAGCTGGCATTATGCAATCTGGGAGCTGCAAAAGGAGCTGTGGAATGGGTCTGGAAGTGGGAGGACTTTCCCTGCAAAAACTCCTGTCCACTCCTGTTCTGTAGGCTGTGGGAGAGGAAGGAACTCCCCATAGAATCCTCCTTCGTGCCCAGCCCTACTATGCAGTGTTGACAAAGGGGACAGAATTTAGCTTTACATATTCTTATTACATTGTATTTTTGTAGGTGGATTTTGCACGGCAAAGGAGGACTAGTACAGGTAGAAACAGAACCAAAACCTCCTAGCTACTATGACTTTTATGGATTTGTATTATTATTCTTTAGAGGCATCATGGTAGCACCCAGAGGCCCCATCGTACTAGGAGCTGTATGTTATGCAGCTTTCTTTTTAAAAATCTGATTAGATAAAGAGCATCATTTCTTTGGATGGCAGATTTAAACTTAAAATACCATTCAGTCTATTCCAGATATGGGATCTCCTGCATTATTAGCGGGACTTGTATAACAGCCACAGCATAATATATATCATATGGTGTGTGCACTTTTCATGATGTATTGCACTTTTCATGGTGAATACCATAAACATGCCTTATGAAACTCTATTCACAAATCACCAGGGTAAATTATTTGTTTTGGTGGTGAGTAAAATATTTAGCTTTCTATGATTATGATAATTGTAAAGGGTAGAAATCGAGGAGATTTAGTGATTCAGCTGGTAAAATATCATGACAATTTTGCGAGGCTGCCATAAAGGCAGCTTATTAACTTGATAGTGTTTCTTGATGGTGTTCTAAAAAGAGTGAAACTATGCATGCGTTCCAGCCAAATGTATGCATTTGTTCTGCTGCAATGTTTTATCACTGTTAGTGAATTTATCCTACAGTCCCAGCATTCTGTAAGGGAATGATGCAAGAGATGGAAGACTACTCTCGCCAGAATTACCTTGCATTTGCTAGTTAAAAATTATTACAACAGCATTTTCATTTGCATGTGTGAAGAGTCTCTGGATTTTCAGTAAATTTGTATTTCAAAGCTGATTTCTTTGTCCGTCATCACTGGCAGTTTACAAGTGTTTTTTCTTTTGGGGATGCTGGAGCAAATGAAATAAACCCACAATAAAAATAATTTTGTCCAGGTGGGGCATAAATCAGATGAAGAACTCTCGTTCTACGTGGCAAATATAAAACATATGCCATATTATTTAAAGCTTAGCCTCCTTATTTGCCTGCATGACAAAAATCTACATATGTGGTGAAGCTGATGTAGGCAAGCAATAAGAATATTAGGAATAAAATATGATGTAGGAAGTGACTCAAATAGAGCCACTCGCAGGGTCATGGCCATTCTCCATTTCAAGTGGGCATGGAAATACAGTGAGGGTTATTCTTCTCTAGAGATGTGCAGATAATAAACACCTGCTACCCAGATCCACTCTTTCCTTTTAACTGTTGATGTATTGAATATTTCTGGAAATTGTGGACAAACTAGTGTCAGGTGATGAGGACAAGGGTGGTCTAGCCTAGTGGTCAGAGCAGGTGTAGTGAACCAAGCGTCGGAACCAAGAACTAGGGTCAGAGTCAGTAGTCAAAGCTGGTGCCAAGGGTCAGGATGGAGGGCAGGAACTGGATACCAGAGCCAACGGACAAGCCGGAGTTGGTAGTTAGATGCTGGAGCCAAGGGACAAACTGGAGGGCAGGAACTGGATACCAGAACTGAGGGTCAAGCCGGAGGTCAGGAACTGGAGCAAGCAGCATAGCTGTCAAGGAAGGGTTCTGGGCAGGCGCAGGACAGAGGCAAGGCTGGGTGCAAGGCAGGAGCAGCAGGAACATGGTAACGCAGGAGAGTTAGCCTCCTGACCCCTCCAGCCAGTCAGGTTACGTGGCTAGTCAGGCAGCCTGCTGCAGGCCAGCTGTACTGATGACACTGTCTGGAGACTAGATCTGCTACAAGCCCTGATTCCTGACAGCCAGTGAGGGATAAAACATGGTGCCTACTGGTAAAAAGTGGGGCAGATAGAAAAATGTTGACAGATTACGTGGAAGTCCTTCAGTAGGGTCTTCTTTCCCCCCACATCCTTTGTGTGTGTGTAAGTTATTGTTCCAAAGCCAGGACAGTCAGGGAAAATCTGAAACTACGTTTCCCACCACCCATCCCTGGCATTGAAGTAGATGCTTCTGAAGGAATGTTTCCAACAAGAAACATCTGAGCTCTCAAAGTATTGGGGAAACCAAAATCTGGGATTTTTTTTTTACATTGTATTTTTAAAATCATTTTCAGATTATATGTTATAAATCTACACTTCTTAAATCCTTGTTTATATTCCACTGGAGACCATCCAAACTGTGAATTTCTGGTCCTGATCCAAATTCTCCCAAGGCTCAGGGGGTTTTTGGACCATTCCCATTTCTAAGCTGAAGACAGAAATAGCTTCAGTTCTGAGGCTAATTCTTGACTGATAATAAATTAGCATTGAACGTCATAGTCGTTGGAGAACTTTGAGTCTGAGTCATCCCAAAGAGACTGAATTGATGAGATTTTCCCATGTAATTTAATAAAAATAATTGCCCAGAGCACTTGTCCAGTGTAAATTATGCTCCTTTTCTAGTCTCTAATACTTTCCTCCCTGATGTATGGGTGGAGCTTCTTAGTTATGGGCTCTTGAGACACGCAAGGCATGAAGGAAATGGGGTTAGCAAGAATCAGACCACATTGGCTGGAATGAGACACGTATTTATTTAGAAAAAGAGGATTTTTTTTTAAATATTAAAAGGTGAATTCATAAGGTAGAGCTGCCTGGGAACTGTGCTCTTTACATGTACGGTTTTAAATAAAAAAATGAGTGCTCACCCTAGCAACTGGAGCAACACACGGTTCAGTACTTCCATGACGCTGAACAGCTTATTAACCTAGAACCATAAAATCACTCACAATGACATTTAGTAACATGAAACGTCTGACATAAATCCACCAGTGTAAGGAAACTCGCAGGCAGGAAGCCTGTCGCTTACCCCTCTTGTGTCTACAAACAGCAGGACACACAACATGGAAAGTGAGCAAGAGGCCTGGGTGCATCTAAAGGCTCCAAGAGAAGGCTGGGAGTTTGGAACACAGGAATTCTAATCCCAGCTCTGCCACCGACTCCCACTGTGGCATTGTACAAGTCATTTTGGACCAGATTTTCAGGAGTTCAGCAACCCCAGCGGGGGCTAGGTTGTCAAAAGAGCTCCACTTGTTGGGTGCTGAGTGCTTTGGAAATCTGGCTCTCATTGAGGTGTCTAAAAGGGAGTTGACTTCTTTTAGAAATCCTGCTCCAATTGTGGGTGCTGAGCAAGTGAAAATATGCCCCAAGCTCTTTTGAAAACTGGTACATTAAGGTCTGATGCTGCAGCTTCAAGGGGGAGCTGTGGGTGCTCCCAGGATCAGACCCTGGAGACAATAATACTGTGGGTGTGGGTGAGGCTTGATTAGTTAAACCCTGATCCTGCAAGCAAGCAGCTCCCATATAGAACCCCACTGGCTTCAGTTGTCCACAGGGAGCTTCTTGCAGGGCCTAGGTTTGAACAGTGCTTTGAAAATGTTAAAGCAATACTGTCAATGTGAAGTCTAGTCATGTTTCAAAACTCAGTTACAAAGGAGTTTCAGGTACTACACCTGGCCCTGAGTCCTCCTGGGAATTATTGCAGTTTTACAATCTAATTTTCCATGTTTGAAGAAATACTTCTCTGTTCCTTGTTGCTGTGTGAAAGCCCCACACAAAAATCAGAGAAAATGACTCAGGCTCCAATCTCCTGCAACCACATGTACACTTAACTTTAAGCATAGGGTGACCATATTGCCCAATGGAAAAACGGGACACCGCGTGGGGCTGGCCCAAGCCCTCCCCTCAATGTGCGGTTGGCCTGAGCCGCTTGTTGGAGCCCCACTCTCACACGGGGCTGGCCCAAGCAGCTCGCTGGAGCCCCCCGCCCCACGCAGGGGGCAGGCAGGGCTTGGGTGAGCAACGATGCACATATTACATAGGGTGATCGAATTTCCCAAAGCCTGGGACTGGCATTGCAGCTTGCCCGGGCCCTGCCTGCCTCCCTGTGCGAGGCTGGGACTGGCATCACTCCTCGCTCAAGTAAGCCCTGCCTGCCCCCTGCCAGAGCCCGGCCTCCTGCCCCCCTGCACAGGGCTGGCATTGCTGCTCGCCTCCGCCTGCCCCCGCACATTCCTCTGCATCCCACTTTTTTGACAAATGCCCACTTTTGCCAAAAAAAAGTCAGGACAGCCAGGACAGGGCTTAAAAAAGGGACTGTCCTGGCCAAAACAGAATGTATGGTCACCCTATTTAAGTAGGTGAGTAGTCCGATGGAAATCAGTAAGATTACTCATGTGGAGAGCTGGCTAGAGACAGGTAATTCCACTGTACAGAGGATTTTGCTAGTTCAAAATCTGGTTTCGTTCCAAATAGGAACCCCCCAATTTTTTGAAATTCTCCCTGAAAGAGGATGAAGCCATGGTTTTGAGGTAGTCCACATGGTGAGGTGTCTCAGAGCCACGGACCCTGGAAGTGCTGGGGTCCCCAGCCCTATAACAATCTGCATGCCGGCAGTCCCCAGAGCTGTGCATATTAGAAGCTCTGGCTCTCCAACACCCTGCCAGGCATGTTGCTGAGGAGCCGCACAGGCAAGCTGGCAGGAAACCAGACAGGTTTTGAGGCCTGCCCAGCCAGCAAGTTTCCCTCAGGATCCGCTTGGCTTCCAGAGGAACTTCTCTGAAATCAAACTGTCTTCACAAAACTTTTTGATTTGGACAAATCCACTAATTCCAATGAAAAAACTCTTCTGTCTGAGTTTTTCCAACCAGTCCTATTCCAAGTGCTTAAAATTAAACGTCTGTAACTGCAAGTTTGGTGCGTCAGCAACTGAATGGAAAGGGGGAAATAGCAAAACTGACCATGCAGAAAGCACTACCAAATACACAAAGTAAACTTACTGAAAAAATAGGGGAAAGTAAATGTACTGTCTAATGTCTTTCAGTTCTAGTAATCTTAGTTGTTATTGGTAAAAATGACATAAAGCGTTTTCCGACAGACATCTTATCTTTTAGTTGATGGTCTCTCTCTTTAAGTGCTAAAGCATAGTTATGTGGCAGTTTTAATGTAGTAAAATGGGGACTTAATTGAAATCAATAGCCCCATTTTGCTTGTCGCTTATTTAAGCTTGATTTGAACCCAGGTTTTTAAAGGCTTCTGCACTACATCATTAGCACACCTCCTATAGCCAGCACACCTTTCTGCATTTCACATGCCTGAATTAAAAAAAAAAAGTGCAATGTAAGATTTCTTGTCTTAAAATGTTTAGCTCTCCACTCCTTCCATTATTAGACTGAACTAAAATGTGACAGCTAAAAGGAGATTAAACACATAGGCACATCTACCTTGAGCAGAAGAAGCCTTTCATAACTCACACAGAGTTATTGGGCTTACCCACAATATTAGTGATAAAAATTGATTAGCCATTCCCACCTGTTTCATGGTCCATGGCTATTTTTTCATTGGTACTATAAGTTGGTTTATACAGAGGGAAATAGTATTATTAAATAGCAGAGTATACACGTAATATATTGTACTCACAAAGGGCCCCAAAACAGCTGAAAGCAGCACCTGTGGGCCTGCTGGCCCACAAAAGCAATCTGAATGCTCTGGACTTTGCATCTGCTAAGGTTACTCCTTGTTCTGAAGAGGAAGTATCTCTTCTTTAGTGTATGTGCACTGCCCAGTCAGGCTTTCTGCTGCCTCTCTATTCCCAGGGAGGAAGATTTATGACTCTGCCAGCCTGATCATCATATATACCATCACACTGAGCTCTGGGAATGGCACGTGGGGACATGCTGAGCAATGTCATGGTGCAGAGTGGGGGGAGGAAAAGGATTGACTAGTATACAACTAGGAAAAAAATTAAAGGAGCCACAGTCTGAAGTGATTGGGAATCTCCCTGGCTGAAATCTGTGTTTTGAAGGTACAGACGGGGCCAGAAGCTCACCTGCTTCCAAAGAAGCAGACTTCTTATTAGTCACCAAAGGAAGCAACTTGATGGCCATTAGAGGCCAGAGCCCTCCAAAATGCTCTTCTAATTGGAGGAGTGGGAAGGGGAGCCCCCCCCCCCCAATCCTGATTCTGAGCCTAGACTATTTAAAAATGATCACACTCTCTTTCCAAGAACAGGTCATTTTAAAGACTGTACTGGAATTTTTCTGTCTCCCCATCTGAACCTGCACAGGGGATGTTCTCAGGCACCACAACTGCAAGTGAAGTAGGGACATAGACTGTCCCAAGAACTGGGCATACTGGAGTGCCAAGTAGTGAGTAGAAGCTTATTGGTATGTACTCTTCTCACCTTGACCCAAACAGCCCACCAACTCCCTTCTAAGGAATGGACAGGGTAAGGTATTGGCCTCTTTACAGGCCAGTGTTTTCCTTGGTTAGACTTGGCCTAATTTAGACTTTGGCTAGTATATTCAGATCAGGACTCTAGCACCGTGGGGCACTGATCCATGACTGGGGCTGCTAGGTGCTACCACAGTACAAATACATAATGATACTATCTATGTATACCTACACAGTCAGCTTCATTGTTTTCTCATCTGAGTTGTGTAATCACAAGAGAACTTTGGATTTGGATCTGAACTCTGCAGCTTGGACCAATCTCAAATTAACCCATGTAATCATTTCCCTGCCATTACAGGAGCCTTCATCACTGGTGCACCTCAGTCCCTCCTCTTCTCTGACTGTGGCACCTAATGGTCTAGTCTCCTGTGGTTCTCATTTACTTGGTCTCATTTCAGTTGCTGGGTCTAGCGTGCTGGTGGTGCTGGGTGGTGTTGGTGCCCTGTTATATACAGGAGGTCAGACTAGATGATCTGGTGATCCCTTCTGGCCTTAAACTCTATGACTAAAAAGAAATGACATACCTAGGTTGTTACCGGTCCAGCAGAATCCATCTGATATATGGGAAGTAAAAGGGATGGCAGGTGAAGAGGTGAGTGTTACAATACCTGGAGAAAACAGACAGCTGGAAAAGATCATTTTAGCAAAATTAGGACTTTATATACATAACACTGTTTTATGGCCCCATGTATTTGTAAAGGGGGTATAAACTAGACTCCTGAAATAGATCAAGTTCAGACACAGATGTGAAAAATAGCACTAGTTTGCCATCTAGTGTTGTAGGCTCATATTACAGTTAGTTAACCAACGTGTTAACTAACTGTTCTAAGACCAGTAATTCCTGACTACTACCTGCTGCTCATTTTTAATGACCAAGGTTTAAAAGAAATCAAGGAGTTTTATAATATAGCTAGGATTATAGGATCTTCAGCGTTTTTACATTAATTTTCTTCAAATTTTATGTATCAGACATAGGTGCTGGAACTAGGGGTGCTGGAGATGCTGCTGTACCCCCTGGCTTGAAGTGGTTTCCATCATATACATAGAGTTTGGTTCAATGGCTCTCAGCACCCCCACTATAAAAATTGTTCCAGCGGCACTGGTATCATAATGGCTGGAAAACTCTACTCAAAGGAGCTGTATTTTCTACTTGTCAATAGTGATGGGGGGAAGAGGGGGAGTAAATCAGCAGTGGACACAAGCCATCTGTAGTTCATTTCAAAACCTTTCTCTAGCTGATTAGCTATCTCCTAAAAGTAGATATTTAGTGTCACTCAGCAATAGGGGGTGGTCTGATTTAGTGCTAAAATTGTGATGGAGCCGTAGCCATTAGCTCAGCACCACTGCTTCCACTCAACATAGTTGGCAAATAAGTCTCCTGTTTGTGAATGACAACATCATTTAAGTATTGTCTTGGGAGTAAAGCTAGGTGAATAATTTTCAGTGACAGTGAGTAACATATTTGATCAGTTTTGACTTTTTTTCCCCTCCTTGGTAATTGTCTCTGGGCAGATCATGCTTTTCTCATATTTATTCATTATTCTAAATTATTCACTGAATAATGTCACTGAATCACTCTTGGTCTCTAGATTGTGCAAGAGCAATTTATTTATTGTATCTGATATTCCAGATTCAAAGTAGATTGGCTAGTTTGGATTCAATGTGTAGATCACATGGCATTGATTCTCTTCTTCAAGTGACTGAGTATAACCCTGTAGTCAGTTTCTCTTTTTGAACAATCAAGTTTATGAATTCACAATTCACTTTCCAGTGAATTCCAGTATTCATTTAGCATTTGCCATTTCCACGGCCATTTGGGCTATAACATTTGTTTGCTAGAATATATCTGGATAGCAAATATACCCTGGAACCAGGGATGTGGGCACTGCCAAAGCTAATTTGTTACAAAATAGGAATGAATATTTGATTATCCCCCCCATTCCCCAATTCTCAGACGCAGAGAGGGCAGATATAAGTGAATTTTACTGCACCATGCTGAAATCCCTGTTTGCAGAGTTAAGAAGTCTTGTGATATGCAAACTGAAATTAACAGAAAAAAGGAGACAGATTTGGATTTGGAACCCCATTTACGGGGTTAGTAGAAATCTCTGATCTGGCATCCAGCCAGATGAGCTTTGCAAGTAATTTTTGGCTATATATGCAGGCCTTGACTCTTCAGTTAGATCCAGGCACACCTTGCAGAGTCCTATTGAAGTCGCTGGGGTTCATCATGAGCAGTGCACAAGAATCTGCCTGCATGGGTATAGTTGTAGTATTGGGGTTGTTGTCATTCAGAATAAAATACAAAAGCGTAAGACAAGTGCAGAGAAGGCTTAAGATAGAACATAATTGGGCAAGTGTTATGTTTATGACATACAAAGAGAGAATTTCAATTAACAAATATAAAATTCTCTTTCTGGAAGGCTGCAATGTAACACTACTTTATTTCTTAAAATCCAGAACCTTAACACACAAGAACCAGAAAAGAGAGGGAGAGAAAGCAGGCTGCTCCCTAGAGCAGAGAGGTACAACTCACCTCACCTTACTCTAGGCTGGCTCTTTGCAGACTGACTACTGAAAGACTCAGATTGCATGCTTCCCTACAGAGCATGCTAGCCTGCAAGCAGGACCAGGAAATCTCCTGGAATTTTTTGTCACTGCTTACCATTTTAACTCGGTTTTAAATACAGCACAGTAAGCAAAAAGAAAATGTTTATGGCTTGAATAATGTACTGAGGTATAGCCAAGGAAAAATGAAGAAGATAAAAAAAATTGTGAAACGTATTCAAACCAGCTGCACCACCGAATCTCACCCAGTAGGGAAGCCCAATAATTGCTAGAGGAATAAATACCATGAACAGTAGGCTGGGTTAGCTTTACATTACAGCACAGGTTAAGTTACAATCCAGCATCATAACCTTTACTTAGTGGTTTAATGGTTTTGTGACTGAGGGGGAAAAGAAACAGGTTTAGAGCAATGCGATACTCAGGGTTCTAAGCTCCGTTATGCAGCAGCAGAAAGGGTAATGTCTTTGTGACGCTGTCCACGTATTTTGACACCTGCATGACTATGAGGATAATACCAATAATAAAGTAATGATAATAATACGTTAACATTTGCATAGCAGCTTTCATCTCAAAGGATCCCAAGGTGCTTTACTAAAAGTATACACACTCTGTAGTTTTACACACCTAGAACACTTTCATCCAAGGATCTCAGTGTGCATTGCCAGCTATATCCCTGCAGCATTACTGAAATGCAGTCCTCTCTAGGACAGGAGAACAGCAACTGCGTGGGCAAACAACAGTGGAGGATGGGGAATAGTAAGCCCCGGAATGTCCTTGTTCAGGTAAGCTCCTAGTATTACAGAAAATGCCATGATATCTTTAATATTCACACAGATAAGCAAGGACTTCATTTTTAAGGGTCTTATTCAATAGGATTTGGTTAGACTAGAAAAACTACCAACACTGTGTTGGCTAACGCACCACAACCTTGGTCTCTTGTCATTGGCTATCTTAGCAATGCAGGGAGCTGAATCGGGATCACAGTTAAGCTATACGTGCATAAATGCAGCAGTTGATTTGATCAGCTATGCAGTGAAGTGCAATCACATTGATTCTACAAGATGCAGCTCACACAAAACACAGTCTTGCGATCAAAACCAGACTCTGAACTGCCATTGAATCCTGACCATGGCATTCAAAAGCAGAGAAAGTTGTCCTCGGAATGCTTTTAAAGGAATTACTGCTCTGCTGATTTTTAGGACAGGATCAGTTACCTTTTTTAATGTATGTTTATACAAGTGTTTAGGTATGGGCCCGTGTGAGAGCACACCTACAGAGAGAGAGAGAGAGAGAGAGAGAGAGAGAGAGAGAGAACCGAGCCTTTTGCTTTATTTTTTATCATTACAGAGTCTAAATTTGTTGGGTCATTATCTGTTTTAAGGAGGTCGAGCCTCCATTCATTACTCATCTGCCATCAGCATGTAGAGCTGCGCATCCCCTCTGCAGTGTGGTAAACATGCATAAGGAGCCCAGTAACACTTACTAATTAGTTTCCCTATACAGTATCTCATCAGGATTTTTTATTATTAGTATTCTGACAGTGAGTATGTACAGAGAATGACTAACTACGCTGAGTTTGAGAAACATGATTAGGAAAGAAAAAATGCTTCCAAAAATTTCATTCTCCTTGATTTTTTTTTTTTGGCAGAGATTAACTGCAAGAATAACCACCTACAATTTTCTTGCATAACCTTGTGCAGGAGATGGGCTGCAGGCAATTAACCATGTATTTCTCACACTCCAGTTTTGGCCTTGTCTCGCTTGGAAATAGCACCAGTTCAGTAATCGGTTGAGCATCATGGTGTGTCAGCCTTGTAGACAAGGCCAGTGTGTGGGTCAGCATCAGGTCAGCCAAACAGATCATTGAGATGGCACTACTTCCAAGCAGAGGCAAGGCATGGCGGGGGGAGGGAGGGGAAGAGGGGAGAGGCGGTGTGACATGGTGTCACGTGCCTCACCAGATTTCTGCCAGGGTTTATGTGCTTTGCCCTGAACCCCGTGGCATATCACCAGCATCTTTAAATCAGGCGCCCCCTCCCCCTCACTATCAACAGTTACGCGTTGTCTCTGCTTCCAAGTGTCGTTAAGACCTTAAAGATAGATCCTATCACGTGAATAGCAAAGTGTGGGTGGGCTTGTATAGAGGCCAAAATTTGAAAGCAACCTATAAAAAAAGGGAGACAATAGTGGCACAGTCTAGCAGGGCGGTCTGTCCCTCAAAGATTCCTCTCTGATGGGCGAGGGAGGGGAGAGAGCATAGGTGTGGGAACTAGGTTTTTGTGGGGGGTCCTGCCCACCACTCCGCTCCCAGGGTCCCAGTGCTGCCCAGGGCTCTGCTCCTGGCCCCGCACCCAGGGTCCCGACTCCTGGCTGCAGGACGCACACATGGGGTTCTGTTCCCAGCGCCGCACACAGGGTCCTGGCTGCCGCTGGACCCACGTCCAGAGCTCTGCTCCCAGCCCCGAACGTGGGGTCTCAGCTGCCGCTGGACTTGCACCTGGGGCTCTTTTCCAGCCCAGCATGCGGGGCCCCAGCTGCAGGACCCAGGGCTCTTTTCCTGGCCCAGTGCCCGGGGGCTTAGCTCCTGGTTGTCACTGGTCCCGGGCCCAGGGCTCTGTTCATGGCCCCACACCTGGAGTCCGCACACGGGGTCCCGGCTGCCGCCGGCTCTGCACCAGGGGCTCTACTCCCGGCTCTGCACATGGGGTCCCAGCCTTGGCCCCCTTACTCCTGTCCATGTCCCCTCCTCCCCTACCCCCGAGCCATGGTCCCGCTCTTGGCCCCAGCTCTGGGGCACAGACAGGAGTAGGGGGGGATGAGGTAAAAAGTTTGGGGTGGGGACCACGGGCATTCAGCACCACCAGAGTAAAAATTGTTCCAGGGCCACTGGGGGAGAAGGGGGCATCTTTGGCTGTTTCGCTTCCCAGCTCAGCCCATATTGCTGGTGCTAAAGCACATGATGCTTTAATAAGTTCACATGTGCTTCTTCTGCTTGTTCCAAATCATCTGATTGTGTCTCATCAAGCCAAACATACAATTTTGACAGGGCATC